GGAGCAACGGGGGGGGGGGGGGCTGCAGCCCCCCAATAATTTGCTAATAATCTTTTTTTTCAAAATCATGCAGTCCTTTATCATTTAATCCATGACAAACTGCAAAGAATGAAGATATTATACCCATACTTTCCTGCAACTTATCCAATATATAGTTAATTAAATACGCCTTCGCCCATTTAGTACAACTAAATTGTAAATTTCGACATACTAAAACGCTGTTTTCTGACCATTAGAATTCTGTCAAATCTTCCCCAAAATCCAGGAAATTGCATTTCAGAGACTCTAAATTTAAAAATTTCCTCGGGCCTTCGGCCCTCGCTTTCAGCCCCCAATCAAAAAGAGCTTCCTACGGCCCTGATATATATGCTCCTGCCGCAGTGTGGATCAGATATCTAATGGTCTACCCTTACCACATATATCCTAGGGAACCAATTTTGTATATTTTTGTGTTATTTGCATCTCCAGAACTCCTACTTTTGTCCTACTTTTCTACACATTTTCCTACTTTATTCCTAAAATTCTAGTCCTACTTTTGTCCTACTTTTCTACACAAGAATGCCAGAAAGCCTGTTAGAGAGATTCTAGGAGGGGTTTAACCCCCCTCTCTAACCATCCGCCCATGCGAGAATTTCATAAATATATATGATGACCCATCGCATTGGCGGGCTCTATTCAGTTGTTTCTGCTATTGAGTTGGTGACCGCACCTAAATGTCAAAAACAATTATTGCTCTCAAGCTTTTTGCGTGAGGTGCTTGTATGTCACGTGAAACTGCTGTTGTAAGTTTTCAAATGTCTCTCTGCTCCTAGCACGATGAATTCAATGAAATAATACTGCTATTATATTAAATCTTGCAGTGCAAATACTATGAATGTTGAGCCAAACTGAATGGCAACAGATGTTCACGCCAATGGCCAACTTGATCGTTTAAAATGTTTCATTTTAACCGGTGGGTATTTTGGTGGGTATAGGTTCGTATGACATTCGGATATAAGTAGGCTTGGTGAATTGAATTTATTTTGCAAAAAGAAAAACAAAACATTCGCTCTAATTTCTTATAAACATGACTTCCATTATGAGTTCCAACAAGAAAAATTGATCAAGAGTAAGTCAGTAAGATTGTCTTCCAAAACACCTAACATAGTGGACAATGACATTACGCGCGTAATGTATAAGTATTTCATTTCCTGTGTTTGTTTGAAACGCCTATATAGTACGTTTGCCGTGCGAAACTACAGTGAAAAACCTCTAAAATTCTAGGAAAGACGGTCAAAGTCGATTAGGATGAAAATTTGAGTGATAACTCGTTTCAAAGCTTCTATATGTACACGGTACGTGAAAATGTTAATACCCCAAGTGAATTTCAATAAATTGATAGTCTAAAACATACGTAAACGGCGGAATGAAAGTTCATTTAGAAAACTTGAAATGATTATCTAAGTTCAATTTTCAGTATGCTGTAATTTTTCCCCGGAGAATTTCTGATTTAATGTATATACGGCTTGCCCAAAATGACGCGGTCGATATACAAAATTCCAATAAAGCAATATATACTGTGCATGCAAGAAGCAAGAAATAGTAAAAAAATTGTGTCTGTTTTCAATGATTGGAATGGCAATGAATATCTTGGTCGTTTATTTATTGGCAGACTTTATAATTGGTCTATTTCGTAAGTATTGTTGGCGTAAGTATCTGCGTTTGAACACTTGTATCTAAACATAGACAGCGCATATTTTTCGATTTCACAGAAAATTTGCTGGAAATGTATTGTACGTATATACACAAGTGCAAATACTCGGTTGTCAGGGCTATTTATAATGAACCCAACTTGACAATATATATAATGAACCCACCAGATTTCACTTACATTTTGGAGACCGCTGTTTCCAATTTTCCATAACAAAACTAGGGCCTTACCACATGCACACAAATTTGGAAATTGGTATCTTTTTATCATGTATAAATATGAAATTGAATTGATATGCTACAGTATGTGCTGGTGTTAGAAAACACGGGGTCGGGTGAAATTGCAAATTTGCTGAATTAGAATTTTTAAAAAGAACATTATGCCACATGTGAGGCATCCGTCAATGCAGATAGTTCGAAAGGAAAGTATTAAAATTTGGCTCAGTAAAGCGGGAACTTACTACTAACTTCATGTCTATCCCAAAGCTTTGCACGAATTTCGTGATTTATTTATAGTAAAGTAATGTGTGGTGAACAGCTATAATAATACTATATGATAATCCTTGAGTTTTATTAGTTAATAAATAAAGTTGGTTGTTACTGGATGTGAATACTATACTATCCTAAACATATTAATATACTCGTGAAAAGAATACTATACTATCTTAATATAGCTACTAATATACATATTAATATACTCGTGAAAAGAATACTAAATTATCTTAATATACTAATATACATATTAATATACTCGTGATGTGAATACTATGCTATCTTAAACGTATTAATATACTCGTGAAAAGCTTTTTGTTTATATGCTTTTCACAGAAGCACCAAGCGGGCTCTTTTGAATTGGCATTTGCCTGAGGTACCAAATGTCTAATCAAACATCCAGAGTATATGTGGATAGTTGGGACATCAAATGAATTTCTGTACCAGATAACTGTTGTATTTCTAGCTTTCAGGACTGTATTCGGTGTACTTAACAAATAGATAAGATTTTGCCGTTGTCTGTTCAGATATATAGATACACAGTATGACGTCATAATGTGGGAAGCACAGAAAAGTGGCTCACGAGCCGCCGAGGCGAGTGTATCTATAACTGAACAGACAACGGCAAAATCGTATCTATTTGTTTTATATAATAAAAAACCCAGGGTAAATAGCTTTTTTATCCTGCTACCTACGCCTCTGTCTTTGTAACATATCAGTTGGTGTTGATTTAACGATTGGGTTTAATGAAAGGCGTGAGTGGACAGAGGGGTTAACAGTGAAAACATATCTAATTGCCTGACCCTGTTGCTAAATCGCCGCCTTGATATGTCGGTGGGGTAAGTTTCAGTGTAGTACTCGGTGTTCAATATACAGTCAGAAGATTTTCCGTGCTGTTACTCCCAGGAAAACCGGCGAAGTTGTTAATGGTAGACTATATGCATCGTCTGGTTGTCTGAGACTGGAATTTATTCAAAAGTGAAAGGCCCAAGTCTGCCATATACATGTGCCTGCCTTGTTTGTAGAAAGAAATCAAAGTTCGGTTGTCAGGAGGTCTGTTATTTTGTATTCAGAGCTCTAGTCGAGTTTAAAGCCCGTTTTCCACTTCAGCCGTACCGTAGCATTTTTCTTAGTTTGACTGTAGTGCCCAGGAAACAACGAAATATGTTTCGGTACTGTACGATTGAAGTGGAAAACGGCCTTAAGTTCCAGGTCAAGTTGCTATAAATGAGGAAGACAAATGTTGCAACTAAAGAGGAAAGGATGCAAAAATTATTGCGCAGGCCTTTGTAATGTGATGCTATAGTTCCAGCACAGTGAACTCATCAGGGCCCAACCTGTCATATATGTAATTGATAAATCTCGTATAATAGCGGAGAAGCATTTTTGGAACATATTGACGTTGAAAATATGGAATTTAGCATCTTCGACTCCTGATTCCACTTAATTCGCAGCACAAATCTATGCTGCTGTATTTGCGCTTATTTGTCCAGTCCTCGCAATTTAACAAAACTCGTAGCCCACGTGCAGGCCCAAGGGAACTGATAGTGGGCCTGCAAGCAAGGCCAGACAATTGTCAAAAAAGAACCAATGACAGCACCCAAGTATTAACAAACAAACTCGCATTAAAATGTTGCGGGGTTCTCTGCTTATTCAGAACATAAACAATGTGTAAATGGCAGCGTTCTAACTCCAAAAAAGCAAGCAACGCAGTCGGTAATTACCAAATTTGCAAGTGCTCATTTTCAACTAAAATCGGAACAGGCAAATTAGGACGAATTTCAACAGAAAACCAGTCTCAAACTTCAAATCGTGAGGGAAGTCGTGCGACCACATTAGCATTTATATTATGTGTGCTTCGCTGTCGCCATTGGCATTGTTATAAATAAATTGCCTCACTTATCAGATCGTGTGTGCAATTCTTGTTGGCGGCGGAAAGTACGAAATTTATTTCAGTTATTTCATTTGGTAAAGAACTCTACAAAAGAAGAGAGCGTTCAGAGTCCAGATCGTTTCGTTTCAAACGGCAATTTAATACCGTCTTCTGTTTCGCTCTCTCAGCGAAGCCTTGTAAATCGCAAAGTGTTTCGAATAGGCTTACATGCAACTGCATCTCAACTTCAACCAAAAGATAATTTTCTTGAGGAACATATAACGTATCAAGTCTGTTTGAAATTAATTAATGAAACTCGAGTAAAGGTTACTATAGTTTTATAGCCCAGTCGTAATGTTGCTATTCCAACACCTCACGATAAGCAATCCCCATTGGCATAACGGCAAAAACATCTCTTCCTTCAAGTAAACAATAAACAGTCTGTTCTTGTTCCATTTATAATCGAAAAAAGTGATCAATTTTCGAATTTTGAGCTTATCGAGAGCCTTTGTGTTGAATCACTGACCTAATTATAGAATCCAACAGCAAACAGCCAATCAGAATGCCGCGTTCGTGGGCGAATGCGGAAAGTACAAAATACCGGGCCTTGCTTGCAGGCCCACTATCAGCTCCCTTGGGCCTGCATGCGGGTTACAAAACTCGTCGTAGGCAAAACATTACCGGAGGCATTTTTTCCGAAAATGATAATTTGAAGATGTATATGAATAGCTGAGAATAGTTATTTGAATGTGAAACCTGACTATATAATATTCATCTGTGGAATGACATGAAATTTCATTTTTGGCAGCATTATCGACGACAATTGTCGTTTGCTGTTGAAGATTGCGAGGACTGTTTGTATATATATAGTATTGTTTTATTGGGCTGTTTACACAGCAAGTGTTACAAGATTAGACCGTAAATCTATTCAGGTAATGAAATTGCAGTCAAAATGTGAATGTTGGCAACTTTCACCGACTCAGTTTAATAATGCACGTTCTTAGTTGTGTCATATTGTTACAGCTGCATATAAACACGCTGATGGCAAGAAGATTGATGGTCGACGTATCGTCGTAGACGTTGAACGAGGAAGAACTGTCAAGAATTGGAAACCACGACGTTTAGGTAAGATTTAAAAAAAATCTTTCATGCGGCAAAGCCCCGCCTAAAAGAACCAGTGGGTTAAGACTTAAGAACCAGCAGCCTGAAATTTGGGCAATTAAGTACCCAAAATACAAGAACCACTTCAGGCTGACAAATGAAACTGGTTCTTAAAACACCTTATTAAACTTTTAGCTGGGTAAGCAGGTGCTAGGAAGAAAATACTGTAATCTTGCTAGCATGAATTATGTCTTTCATCCACATCATGCACGTATTTATTTTATCAAAATGCAATCAATTCACAACATGATTCAACTTGCATAGCTATATTCAAAAAATTTACATCTTGCATGATGGCTCTTTGTGTTCACTCACTTCCATTACAAAATGTTGCGTTTACTAGTTTCATTGTATACAATAAGAGGTTTAAAACTCTAAACCATGCAGGCACGATTGTTTTTGACTTGGCTTCACTGTATTTTTAGTAGTTCGGTATATCGATGAAGATAAACTCCTAATAACACACCCCCCCCGCCCCCAATAATACTCGAAAGCCTTTAAACGATGCCTGATTAACTGTATAATAAAAACTGTGCTTTTAAAGTGGTACGCTATTCCCCGGTACATAAACTCCGGCAGCACTTATTTGTGCTGCGAACTACTGTCGGACATCATAAAAAAACCTGAATCCATCGACGAAAAAAGTAAATACTCGCACTGATACTGCATAGGCTTGCCACAAACATAGTACGAAATGTTCATGCGAACTGCGAAGCACGGGCTTTAGGACAAATTCAATTCGACAACAATAGTATTCTATCTAAATAGCAGTTAAAATAAAGTGTACGGCACCTGAACTGTTCAATATCTTGCTTCTGTATCCAAAAACATTTACATAGTGCAAATACTGTATATTTTTAAAATCCGCCATATTTATTTACATTAGAACCCAAGCTTTCACGGTTCACACGAAATATTACGTCGTTCATCTGGTGATAATAAGAGGGTAGGATCATCCAATTATTTAATCGTTCGAAGCGCGAGGAAAGCATCACTTCCATATATGGCACAAACGTGTCCCCAACTTCCTTATATGTCACAAACGTGTCCCCAAAATCAGTTTATCGAAGTCATTATGATGTCATAAGATTTCTCCCGCTCGGAACGATTTGAACAGGTCACGTGGTACAGAACCCAGACAGCTGATTGGGTTAGCGAGTGACAACGCCCACTTTAATCCTACCCTCTTATTATTAGTGAAAATCACCGACGTTAATATTTCGTGTGAACCGCGAAAGCTTGGGTTCTAATGTAAATAAATATGGCGGATTTTGAAAATATACAGTATTTGCATAAATGTAAATGTTTTCTGGATATAGAAGCAAGATATTGAACAGTTCAGGTGCCGTACACTTTATTTTAACTGCTATTTAGATAGAATACTATTGTTGTCGAATTGAATTTGTCCTAGAGCCGTGTGCGAAGTGTTGAAAGGTAAAACAAAGATGGTGCTTCCACTTTGAAATGTGAAATTTTCATTAAATTTCGAATTTTCGCGAATTTGTCGGAGCTGGAAATTTCTTCCCGGAGCTGGAGGCGAAAAACCCCGGAGTTTGCACAGCACCAATTCAGAGACGGCCGCAATAAAGCAACCGACGTATTGGATCTCTAACAATTCAAGACCGAATCCTCGCCGCAAAACTACGGGTAGTTTCTGAGACGAAAGTTCTGAAACCGCAATCCCAGGGTGTCTGTCGTTTTTGAAAAAGCTGCATAGCTTACCTGCCATTCAAGAGACACTCGTGTATCTAAACGGAGGAGTTCAGGTCGATATTGAATAAAGCGGAACGAGTGGGAATGTCAGGTCACTTGGGTTTTATTCACCAAAGCTTTTTGCTCGTGCTGTCATTTGTCAAGAGAAATGTTAAGTAAATCTACTCCTTCATGTAGGAAATCATAGCTGCTGTGCAGACATTAGCGTGAAAGTAATAATAATAATATTTAAAATTTATATAGCGCGAAATACATATGTATTGCATTTATAGATACATCGCCGTCCTTCAGTTCAGCCGCAGTCGAGAGGACGGCGATGTTACTGATATAATATGCTATTGCATCCGTAACATCGCCGTCCTTCAGCTGAAGTCGAAAACCTTGTTCCATAATAAAGCCACTGTTGAACCTTTACAGCAGATGAGCGTGCCGTCTGTCGTAACACGCATTATGCTTGTCACAATAGAAGACGTACTCAACTGCTATACTCAAACAACAAAGTGATACTGAATTTAGACTAAACAGACAATATACTGTGAAATTTCCAAGTATTATGGAATCCACTGTATAATGTATATGATGTAGTATCTAAGGTATATTCGTCCTGTAACTTGACATGAACTACCATTAATATCTACGTTCACCGTAGATACAGCCACGATATATTCAATACTTACCAATTTGGAAGGTCAGGTGCAAGCTGTTGACGGAAATAGACTGGGAATACTTATACTTATTTGCTATTAAATTACTTATTTGTTATTTAAAATCATCGTAGTCAATTTACTCGATTCTGATTGGTTAAAGACAGGGCACGGTACGGTCTGCGCATGAGCACATAGGAGTCTCCTGCCGTGATATAAACACTTTAATTAGGTTTTTATTTCATTTTATGTTCTTGTAAAGCCTGATTGTTGTATCTTGATCATTTATACTGTAGAAGCATGAAAACATAAATAATTGTCGAATAAAGTTCAATATTTTGAACAAATGTAAACAGAGGCTTTGTTTACATACGGACTGTACCCTACCTTTAAAAACCGTGCCGATTAAACATTGATCGCAAAGGTGTGCCGATTAAAGATTAATCGGCACGGATACGAGCTCGCAGGTTAATGGTTATGTAAACAAAAATTCTGTCTTTAAAAAATTTTGTCAACATTCAACGACGGATTTTGATGAATTTTTTGACCTTGAAACTGACAATTTGTTAGCTTCATTAGACGAAAATGATTCTAAAATTGCCAATAATGAAACTGGGGTCGTTCAAGAGTCGTCTAAGGAAAGGTTTCCTCGACCAACCGAAGATAAAGTTGAATCATTTTACGCGAAAGCTAGTAGTCGCAATACTTCAAGAACGACAAAAACATGGTTAAATACCTATCATTCTTGGGCTGAAACTCGCAACCAGAGACAGGACATAACCTATCTCCAGTAGACCTAAATTCATTCCTTGGCCAGTTTTACGCGGATTTTAAAAAAGAAAAAACGGCGAAGATTACGAACCGGAAAGTTTAGTTAATGCAAGCATCTTTAGACCATCATTTGAAAGAAAAGGGCTACACGTTATCGATAGTTCGCGACCCCCAGTTTTATTCGTCGAACAAGATACTAAAGGGAAAAGCGACGAAATTACGTGAAGAAGGAAAGGGAAGTAGGCCAAATGCTTCGAATTAGATACTTACCTGGCCAGAAGAAATTGAGCTGTGGAAAGCTCGGAAACCCCGAAACGTTAATCCATACGGTTTGGTTCACTCGCTGGAAAGCGTAACAAACCACAGCGCTAGAAAACCGTTGTTAAAAAAGCTGGACGACGCAAATGTTCCCCGAGCACAGATCGACACGGTTACAGGTCATCGAAACAAGAAATCTCTGGACGACTATGTAGATTCATTCTCCACCGTTCGCTCGAAGCAACTTTTAAATATCAGCGGTAGAGCAACTGTCACTAGCGTCGGCGATGCAAGCAAAGTTGGTCCTCTACAAATGCGAGATAGAAACACCAGTGCCGTTCCTTCTACATCCACACCTTCGATATTGGCTGATCAACAACGGCAATTCCCAGTTCTTAATCTGGCAGATATGGCTCAAAATGTGGAAAACTCCACGATCGATATAACCATGAATACCAACATGCGGTTGTCGAGCTCTAACCACAAGTTGGGTTATGGGTATAGCCCATGGGTATAACAACAACGGAGGTCAAAATCAATCAAAATTTCTCGACGCTGGAAACGTCGACAGATGACTTGTGTTGGGCCCAACACATTTCCGAAATAACTTCAAAAGCCAGTTGAACTTTAGGCTTGATCAAGAGGATATGCACAGATATTAAAGACGTCCATATAAGAAAAGTTTTGTATTATTCTTTGATAAGACTTCAGATTGAATATGCTTGTGAACTCTGATCTCCTGAACAAAATATGTATAAGCGCCATCCTAGAAAATGTTCAACGTAGAGCAACTAAATTTATTCTTGCTTATCCTCGACACTTAAGCTACCTGATAGCAGACTATCCCAGCTAAAACTGCTTCCATTGGAATATCGTAGATCATGGAAGTATCTCGGAAAATGGACTCCTGAAGATGTTACTAGATCTTTCGATATTAACAATCTCATTGAGATTAGATATAAGACTGAATTTTATAGACATTCGTATTTCCCTAGGGTGATAAGGACTTGGAATTTAATGTCATATGAAATTAAGATTAGTGTATTTAATTAAGAGGAAAATAAGAGCCAAACTTTTTAGCAAATTGTCTAGTTATATACCCCCTTGACTTGAAAGCTCAATTATACTGTGACTTAGTTGTATAGTTCATTTTACATTATTCATCAGACTTAATATTTTTTATTTTCTGTAATTTTTCATGTAATATTACTTAGAGTAGAGGTAGGCAGATTCAATCGGGACTATGCTCTGTCTGCCCAGCTATCATCTGTAATTCTGTGATAAAGCAATTAAAACAAAACAAATTCTGTTATTTGAAGGAAAACCCCCTATTGATTCAAAATTTCAACGACCAATACTTACAATTGTTAAATATGTTTAGGTGGTGGTCTTGGTGGAACGCGTAATGGAAGCGCTGATTTGAACGTAAGACATTCAGGACGTGTTGAGAACTTTGAGAGGTAAGGTAGATACAACACAAGCCATCCAGTGTGGGCCCACTGAGCTCTTTGTATATCTGGAGCGAGAACCACAGTCCAAACAGTGAAGGCAAGATGGCGGAAATTGATTGCACGTCAGTCCCTTTCTATTGTTTTTGTCTGCGCGGTTAACACGAAGCCGGTGAGGAGTATGCCGAAATTTCGTATTTTGACATCGATTTAAAGAATGACACTACGGTTGTATGAACTTGTTTTGCGATACAGTCCGTTCGAAGAAAACTGAATTAGCTGGGAAAATTGATATAAAAGTTGTTTGCGACCCTTGCGATATTCCGCCACCTTGGCTTCACTTTTCTCATAGGCCGAATGACTCACCTTCTTGCTCCAGATATATATAGAGATCACTGCATTGGTATATGAAGCAGTTATGTTTGAGTTGTAAATTTTGGGCATTGTTTATTTGTTTTAAGTATTAACTTTTGAGCTAGTGTATTTATTGCGATTAAAAGTGAAAAACGTTAAATAGGATGGGGAATCTTCAGTGCGATAATAAGGCCTTACGCATGTACGATGGCAACGCGACAACGACAGACAAAACAAACTTGTTCAAATAAGTTATTGTGAAGGAAAGTTATTGTGTATTGTCTACTGTATTTAATACAGTTTGAGGAGATTAAAACAAAGGCTTTTCTGTTAAAAACATTTTTGCTGGGCAAATTTATAGTACCACTTGTCGCGGTTTGAAATATTTGTGTTGTACAAGGGGTGGGAAATATCTGGTTTGCCGCTGTAAAAAGCGCTAAGACAACGCCTCTAACTCCCGTGGGGCTTGAATTATTCGTTTCTTTCCTACGAAATTGGGAATATCGTTGTGCGAGTAGCCGTCTTCGTCGTCTTGCTGTCCAGCTTGCTTAAGGTCCCTAATAAATCGGACAATTATTCAGACCATAAGCTTATGATTTAGGATTTTAATACAAAAACAAAATTTCGGACTGTCATTCCATCATCTGGTAAATTTTGTCTTATTGACACATTGGGGATACATAAAACACAAGATTCAAATACAAACAATTTGAGAATAAAACTATTTGCATTTTTCACCAGGGATCGTGAACGAGAAGAACGTGATCGTGGTGGAGATTTTCGTGATCGTCAAAGACGTGATCGCGGTCGTGAGGGTGGTCGTGAAGGTGCTCGTGAGGGTGCTCGTGAGGGTGCTCGTGAGGGCGGTCGTGAGGGCGGTCGTGAGGGTGCTCGTGACAGGGATAGAGAACGTGACAGAGATCGACGTAGAGATAGAGATCGTGAAGGGCGTGAGCGTGGTGATCGTGAGCGTGGTGATCGTGAGCGTGGTGACCGTGAGCGTGGTGACCGTGAGCGTGGTGACCGTGAGCGCAGTGACCGTTCTGATAGAGACCGTGATAGAGACAGGTAATAGTTTATATCGTCATCATTATATCGTCATAATCACTTTTCTCCAAATCATTATCGTCATCATTATCTTCATCATCTGAATGTAAATATAGGTTATCATATAAGGGATGAGGTGATATCAGTTTTATCGCTCGAGGGATGATATCACAATTGTCACGAGCGAGCGCAGCCAGCGAGGGACAATTGTGATATCGTCCCGAGAGCGATAAAACTGATATCACCGAATCCCGAGTACGATAACCTATTTATTATATACTTGTACCTTTATCAGGGTTTGACACCCAATTAAAGTAAACAGTTTTGATTTTTGAAAAAATAGGATCATTTTAGAATTCAAAACAATTCATCATTTACTGAACAAATATGATTTTAGAAAATAAATAGACCATTCATATAAATAATATACAATTTAAGTCTTTCATTTTGTATTATCGTTCTTGTTTTCTTCGATAAACTCTCGACATCAACAAACATGAACCTCGAATCGGCCATCTTTGTTTTGACAAGTCGCGAAATTTAGCGGGACAAAAAACGATATTCGGGACAAAAAACGATATCCGGGACGATATCGTTTTTATGTCCCGCTGCTTCCTACCTGATAAAGGTACAAGTATGTGATAAATCTCATTTATTAAATACTACATCAAGCAGCAGTTCACCGTTAAAAATTGATTTATTTTATTATTTCTGAATACATATTTTTGATTGTTTAAAGGATGAGAGTTGCAACTTTCGCTGGTGCTTTACCAACTATCATCGACTCTCGTCAACCTTTGAGCTAGTTCAAATCTTGATGACCGTTTTTGTCGTAATAATATCCAGTCCGCTCTCATGCAATTCTTGTTTGACCAGGGCTTGAGAGTTTGGAAAACTAGTGCCAACTCTCATCAACTCTCGTCTTTATTTGACCAGGGCTTGAGAGTTTGGAAAACTAGTGCCAACTCTCATCAACTCCCATCTTTATTTGACCAGGGCTTGAGAGTTTGGAAAACTAGTGCCAACTCTCATCAACTCCCATCTTTGTTTGACCAGGGCATGATCATCTGTAAATATCAAGCAGCATCAGAGTAGCAAAACAACAACTGCAGATAAACTAACCAGACAGCCGCAGATTAATAGAGATACAACTACCTGAAAAGTATAAGCAGAACTTCGGCGTTTCCCGTTCGGGTTCCTGTTCCACACTACTGACCTCCTGACGAAGAGCCTTCAACTCGAAACGTCGTAGTTGTGCTTGTATTTTGCAGGTATAGTTGTATCTCTCTCAATCTGCAGCAGTCATGTTATCGTCGCTACCTGCACTGACACAGACAGTTCGAGATTATAAGAAAGACTAACCCATTGAACATTCTTAGGGACCGTGACCGACGTCGTGATCGTGACAGCGATCGCAACCGTGAAGGCGAGCGTGAACGCGATGGTGAGCGTGAAACACGAGAAGGCGAACGTGAAACACGCGAAGGCGATCGTGAAACACGCGAAGGTGAACGTGGTGGCGAAAAACGTGAGGGAGATCGTGATGGTGAAACGGGGGAGAAACGTGAACGTGAGGAGGGAGATCGTGAAGGTGAACGTGAAAAGTATCGTGATGGAGAGCGTGAACGTGATGGAGACCGTGATCGTGATCGAGAGCGTGATGGACAGCGTGATCGAGAGCGTGATCGTGATGGAGAGCGTGAGCGAGAGCGTGATCGTGATGGAGAGCGTGATGGAGAGCGTGAGCGTGATGGAGAGCGTGATCGAGAGCGTGGTGGTGAGCGTGATCGGGAACGTGATCGTGATGGAGAGCGTGATCGAGAGCGTGATGGACAGCGTGATCGAGAGCGTGATCGTGATGGAGAGCGTGATCGTGATGGAGAGCGTGATCGAGAGCGTGATGATGAGAGCGTGATCGAGAGCGTGAGCGTGATGGAGAGCGTGAGCGTGATGGAGAGCGTGAGCGTGGTGGTGAGCGTGATCGGGAACGTGATCGTGATGGAGAGCGTGATCGAGAGCGTGATGGGGATCGTGATCGTGATGGAGAGCGTGATGGGGAACGTGATCGCGATAGAGATCGTGACAGGGAGCGTGATCGTTCTGATCGTGAGCGTCGTGATCGTTACAAACGTGAACGTGATGAAGATGATGAACGTAATGGTGAAAGAAAGGAAGATGAAATCAAGAAGATAAAAACAGAAGATGATCGTTATGATAATTATGAAGGAAGGATGGAGAATCAGATGGTTAAACAAGAACCTGGGGATAACTATTACTGAGCAAAGCAAGCCATAAAACAGTACGCGAAACAAACAGAAACTTGAAAATGAGTTCCCCAACAATTGTCTGTGTTTATGGTAATTGTGCTTAATTTGTACGCGTGTTTAACTGAGAAGGTGTATTAGCATGTGGTGGTCAACTCTTAAAGGAAACTCCAGCTTTGTGTATTTATCTTGTATTAGATGGCAGAAACATCTGATGGAAATATATTAAGAACCATTTTCAACTCTCAGTACATTTGAGATGACCACCACGTGCGATATCATAAAGCGAAATCCGCCTAAATAAGTCTTCTGGCTAGAACAATGATTTTTATATTCCCAATGTAAATAGGTTTGCTTATTCTTCGCTTTAGAAAGCACAAAGGTTTGCTAATAACATGTTTTGAGTAAGATTAGATAATAAGTACAGGACTGCAATCATTGTAGAAAATAGCTGCAACTGTTTACCAAATATAACGAAGGACTAGGAAGGACTTTGAGTACGGGAATTAGGATACGGTGGATCCAACAATTTCTGCAGATGAAACACAGCACATAATTTTAGAATTAAGACATTTGGATCTGTAATAACGCTTTGAATAAGATTAGTATGGATAGTAAACGTTTTAAACACATTCGAAAGGTGTTGTATTTTGGAAGGTCACTTTATGAGACTGAAGCCTGGTTTCCATATGGTTGTAACGCGGTCATAAAGATTGAGTCGCGATCTTTCTCAACACCTGAAATACAACAGTTTAACACTCGTAATAGGCAGAGTGATCATAAGTAGCCAATACTTATGATTTATATGTGGATTACAGGTAAAAACCATTTTTTAACTTGGCCGTTGAGAAAGATCGTGATTCTATCTTTACGACCGTTGCGACCGTATGGAAACCATAGATATCTTATATACACTACATAGCGTATCTCTTTTAGTAAAATTGAAGCCAAGAATATTCCAGCGGTTACCCTCATTTGAATAGATGGCGGCCATGTTGGTCGTTCCCACTTGCTAATAAACGCTTAAGAACAACAATAACTTTCATCATTTGAATAGTTTAAAAACGTATTTGGAATAGTTCCGTGTTTAAGAAATAGAAAACATACGAATCTTCTCATTTCATGGGAACGACCTGAGACTGCAATCACGGCTTCAATTTTTGAATTGCAGAATAATTAGATGCACTATCTAGTGTATATAAGATATCTATGATGGAAACGAGGCTTAACAGTGATATTTTCTAAATGAGGCAGTGCTTGGATAAGCCAGAGTTTCCACTGCGCATCCAAATGACGCGTTCTGCGTCGACATAAAGAGCTAATAGGGTCGACATTTCTGATAGTGATACTATTCATTTCACCAATAACATGTTGCGACTGAGTTGCTGACATGTTTGTCAACGCGTAATCCTATATTAACTCCAATATAGCCAACCGTGAAATACAGCGAGGGACTGTGGAAGAGTCCGTAAGAGTAGAACATGCATATCACATTATTTGTGTTTCACTTTTAGTCCCAGTAGAACTGTCATTAAATCATTTTTGTTCTAGCGTATTTTGTCTTCTGTAGTTTGAAAGAGAGACATCGAACGTTTTCCGACCAAATTACGGTTTCTCACGATTGTTCCGACCAAATTTTTTCCCGTCCGCATCTTCCAATCAGTCGGGCATTTTGTCTACAAGCACTTGGGATCTAACCTGCAACAATACAATATTTCTAATTTTCTTCCTTTTGTATATCATCATCTGCAGAATTTTAATTCCATCGCTGTTGTTCCTGAGAGATTCATATTGGAAAAAATTATGGTGCCGAAGACTATCCAACTCCCTGCTTTCAGAACGCAAATTCTTGAGACTCTCCCTTTAAACTTTATTCAAATTGATTATGACATAGTGCCGCTAACCGTAAGTCATAAACAGCAGCACTTGAATCTATAACCAGGGATGAGATTTGAATAGATGCATAATGACGTCACAAGGCTTGATGCGCGCGAGGAATGCTGGTCTTAGTAGTCATCGCCCGGGAAAATTTCGATAGTGACGATTTTGAATTGTTTAATTTTCCCGGGCGATGACTACTAAGACCGGCATTCCTCGCAGGCATCAAGCCTTGTGACGTCATTATGCATAAGGTCTATTGTATGTGGAAGTAATCGTACCTCACGCAAGAAAATGAACCGCACATAGAAAGAGAAATCCCAATGATATACGAAGTACACTCGAGATATTGAAACGCACATAAAGTGTGCACGTGTATGGAAATCAGGCAATTTCTCACGAGTTTAGATAATTTCCTCAACTTCATACAAAACGATTTTGATTCTATGATCCCTATGTAAACAGGGTGGATTAAGATGTTTGTTTTGTGTCGAAACCGATGTGATTAATCATTCATGTATATTACAAAAATGTACTTTATTTACCAACTACTTTGATCGCAAATGTTATGATTAATGATCATTGCTTATAAACCAAGATACAGGCTGCATGTATTCACAGTCCGCCAGTGTCGATGAGATTGAATCTAATCATGAAAAGTAACTGAAAAGAGGCAATAGATTGGACGCAAGTAAGTATATTATTTGGATTATTATGCAAAATATTTGGTTATATTTCAGTCTGTGCCAGTGTTGTGTTGGTAGAGATGTAACTACATGAAAAATACAAGGAGAACATCGCGTTTCGAGAAGGACCTTGGCTCCTTGAATTTTTCAGGTTCTTCTTTCCTTTTCAATGCGAGGATTTGTTATATTTTTCACTAACTGTGTGAGTAATCCATGTTGATATTTGCACATAACTTCCTGTTCAAACCAGTTCAGCATGCCTTGCTCGAACATCATCCAACATTGGCATTGCTATTATCTTGCTGTTGGATCAAATTTGACTTTGTCTTTGTTAAAATTTTCATCCATCGATATCATTGAATTGTTGATTTGTTTTGCCAACTTTCAACATTGTTGACTGGTTTGAAAGGAATGATGTACGATAGAATTCATACGAATTGGTGGATCGCAATCAACCCATGAGATTCATACCGTGAAGTATGGCGGCGATGTAGACAGGCTTTTTAGCTTTTCTTCCAACATGGCCGCCATGACGTCAGTGCAAACCAAGAACAGCGTGCGCATAGGTACGTTAGACCATGGAGCGCAGTTCAGATAATGATTTTGAATAAATATATGGCATGTCCCTGGTAACCGTACTGCACATCATATTGATAAAGGGCTAAGCTGATAAGTTAATTTCACACTGTTTTCCTCAACTACGGCCGCCTTTATATTGTTTGCTTCAGTGTTTAAACAGCTGGAAGAAACTGATATAAATACCTGCAATGTTTGTTCTTACTGTTTCATAAGAACAGCGAAGAGAGAGAGTCATGCCTGGCATGGAACTAAGCTGTAACTGGCCTAAAGGCCTGTTTACACGTACCGGTTGAATGGTTTACACTTACAAATTTTGTTTCGATTTCTAGTGCGATTTTGATCTGCTTCTGATGGATGTGAACGAGTGATGAGTTCAACACGATCATCCACTCGTTTCCATCCATCAGAAGAAGAAAATCGCAGCAAAAATTGCAAGTGGAAACGGGGCTTAAGATCCACTAAATTTAATTATCCGACGAACAATTTATTATTGAAAGTAGGGGAAGGCCCGTTGAAGGAAGTAGTAATCTGGTCGTTCAAAGCGGGCTGGTTGTTCAAAGGTGGGTTAGCGCTAACCCTCGGTTAAAACTTAACTCGCTGTTTTGGTTTGTGTATTTCTGTAAAACAGCACAGAATGTTAGTACAAAATTTCTGAAAAAAATCTTCCCAAGTTTACAAACTCATATTTGTTAAAACTTTTTTTATGTCATAGAAGGTTCACTGTTGTAGCATGTTTAAAATAAAATACGCACATACTTCACTAACTTCGAATATTATTCTGTAACTTGTAGCAGCAACGGAACCGATATCCCTAGAACTACGCAACTAAACGCTGTATAAACGGCCAGAAAACTCAAACTGAACAAATGAAATGAGTTTTAAGAAAGATCCAACTGAACTGAGACCGACACGGAAGGAAACATCACTAACAAGAAAGGAAACAAACTTATATTTATGCAAGGCAGATATATTTCTACCCAGAACTGAGATCCCAGCAACCCGAAAACACCTGGAGAAAATTTTGAATCATGTTGACCCAGGCTGGAAATTTATCAGAATTCGTGATAATGAAAGCTCCCCCCTGAATACAATAGATAAACATTTAAATTTGAGTAACCAAACAGACAATGAGGAGAGTGGTGTCCAGGCTCTTAGTGTGATCATCTTCCTAAACGAAGTGCAATATCAGGAAGTACTGGGAACTATTCACAACGAAACTGAAATTTGGCAATTACGTCATACAACTAAACTTTTAAACAACATTGATAGCTCTACTGTGATTGGCTGTATGGATTTTTATGAATATTCCCCGGATTTGCCACTTTGGACAATTTCTCCAAAACATTTTGGAAGCAAAGTTTTAAGATTTAATATTTTTGTTAAAGATTTTGAAAAGATGAGAGAATATTATGAAAGACTAACATTACAACAATGTCATTTTGTACGAAAAGGGTTTGGTATCTTTAAAGTACATTCGTACCCAGGTCTAGAAGTTCAAATCTCGCTGAAAAGTGAACTGAATGCGGAACTGCGTCCCACAAAGTCAGCGGTACTACGCTTAAAATTTAGAAAACTTGATGTAGCGCGATGTAATTTTGTTTCTATTCTGGAGCAAATCAATCCCCAAGTCTGGCGTACCAATGACCCAGAAGGGAATGTTATACTACTCGAAGAGATTGGGAACGGGTCACATGACAAGCGAACGAAGCGTCGTTCTAAATGTGAAGCCACTAAGGAAGAGTTGGTTTTCGTATAATATGTTGAAGGCTTAAATTTATGAAACGCTATCCTGCACTGAAGATTTTGTTGGCATTTCACTCGATTTAATCATTGTTGAAGGGTCTTGTAGGTGGAAATTATCGAGTAGAAATTTATATACATTTATAAGACCTAACCAGGAACAGCTGCGAAACAAATGCAACTTTAGGTCGCGGGCAAGAATCGAACCTGCAGCCCTGCGATTCTGGTGCAGCGCTCTAACCAACTGAGCTACAGAAGCCAGTTGTCGAGCTCTAACCAACTGAGCTACAGAAGCCAGTTGTCGAGCTCTAACCACAAGTTCATGTATATGTATATTCGATTCCTGCCAGGGACCTACAGTTGCATTTATCACAGCTGTTCCTGGTTAGGTCTAATAAATGTATACCGGGTGGCGCAAAAAAAAGTACAACTGTTTGATTACTTGTAACTCAGAAACAATAAGCAGTAGAACCATAAATCGAGTTTAATTGCATCCAGCGATATCTAACTTAAATTTTGGTATATTTGACAGGCATATTCGTCCAAGATTAACTGAGATATAAGAGTTTAAACTTTTGTTAACAATTTTGAAACGGTCACAAATTAGCTAAAAATCAGTTTAATAGGCCGTTTTTAGCTAATTTGTGACCGTTTCAAATTTGCTAACAAAATTTTAAACACTCATATCTCAGTCAATCTTGGACGAAAATGCCTGTCGAGTATACCAAAATTTAAGTTAGACATCGCTGGATGCAATGAAACTCGATTTTGGGTTCTACTGCTTATGGTCTTTGAGCTATATGTAATCAAACAGTTATACTTTTTTTTGCGCCACCCGGTATAAATTTACACTTGATAATTTCCATCTACAAAACGCTTCCACTATCCTGCACTCAGTTGATGGTAGTGACGTTGAGTTTGGAAATAGAGTGTCTGGGTTGGTTCAGAAGTTTGGGGTCACTACATATCAACTGAGGTTCTTCTAGTATCGATAATAATAATATTTGGTATCGGGCTATCCCTACTGATCAACCAATCATGTGAAACTATAGCATCAGTGCCTCGCGCTGGTTGGCTAAGCTACTTAGATGTCCGTACTTTCATCAATTGCATGTTCAGGTGGGAACAACAACTGTTCATGTTTAGATTTAAACGACGGCTATAGTAATCAATAATCAGTCAATAATATACCAGTATAAAATATTTTATCATTCTGGTTTATTTCAAGCATTCAAAAGCAGCAAGCACGTGCAAGCATAATATATAAACGCAAGCAGGGTCGCTCAGAGACATATGAAGGACTGGGGGAGAAAATAACCTTGGGTCCCTCGTCTTTTTTTACGGTGTAGTAGTACTAAGGTATGTTTAGGAAGTCCGGTGGCATTATCCCCCAGAAAATGTTGATATGTGAGGTCGTAGGAATGACTAAATCCAGAATTCTGCGAGACTAGGTGACAGTTATATCTGTGTATCCCAGCTAAAGCGGGCCCCCCAAATAAAAATACAGTGAAATCACATATTTTTATTTGGACTGAGCCCGCTTTGGCTGAGAGCATAGATATATAGGAGATCCAGATTGCTAACGTATACCTAGCGCAGGCGGGGCCTACATGATAAATCCAAGATGGCGGTACAACAGGGCAAAAAGACTATAGATTCTATTACGAAAATCAGGATTTTTTCATTTTTTGCCGTCGCATTGTTTTGAAACTTATTCGGTCAAATTTTATGGTAAAGAGAAACTTACCGCGAAGATTTTGAGCATATATATGATTGAATTGGATGAAAAATCGCAAAATTATCCAGCGATAAAAGTTTGTGTATAGTACTGATATAGTACTATATATGTAACTTGTACAGTTTTGCTTTAATTTTTGCTCACTATTTGCATAAAAAGCAAATTATAACAGACCATAGATGATAGACCCTCATCCAGTGCTCTCATCAGTTTACTTCTCTAACAAGCAAGGGGGGGGGGGTACATAACAGTTCATTTTTCATAATTATGAGGACAGAGCAGATGATGATGAGAGATGCAAGTATAAAACACCATTCACAAGGCTAGATGTTAACATAGCACAGTATATATATTTCTGGCAATAAAACGCTCCAACTGACCAACTGACCATTTCACACGAACTTTTATCGCTGGATAATTTTGCGATTTTTCATCCAATTCAATCATATATATGCTCAAAATCTTCGCGGTACGCTTCTCTTTACCATAAAATTTGACCGAATAAGTTTCAAAACAATGCGACGGCAAAAAATGCAAAAATCCTGATTTTCGTAATAGAATCTATAGTCTTTTTGCCCGGTTGTACCGCCATCTTGGATTTATCATGTAGGCCCCGCCTGCGCTAGGTATGCGTTAGCAATCTAGGTCTCTTATATCTATGGCTGAGAGCCCGAGGTAAATTGTTCCCTCTCCTCTCAATCTGAGCGCCCTTGAATACCAGCAAAGCAACAAAAATGATTCAATCTGCTTATAGTTAATAAGAAGTAAACATCGTTTGGGAGGTCGATAGTAAGGTATTCTTCTATAATTTGTTAACGCTTATGAAAATTTATAAATTTTTCAAGGCGAGTGAAATTCTTGTTTTGTTGTGTAATGGCTGGAATCATATTATTCAACCGCAATGTTTAACTGATTTGTGCGCGACATTTATGCACCTTTTTCAACATTATTGGAGTTCGATCATAAAAAACCTGTCAATTTCACCCAGCCATGTTCACTTCTATTAATTATATATGCAAATTATATACGCAAATTATATATGCAAATTTGATTAAAGTTGAGTTAAGGCCGTTTTCCACCTCAAACCGTATCGCAACGTATCGTAGCATTTTCTAATTTGTGTCGATTAATTCCACTCTAGTGCTCAGGAAGAAATACGCTCTCGCTACAATCGGTTGAAGTGGAAAACGGCCCTTAACTAGTTTAAGGCTTATTTACACAATTCGACTAGTCGATCGTATACGATTTTTATCCTGGCGTATGTATTCGAATAAATGCGTGTAAGTATGTCACATTTCAACAGTTCATGGAATGAATCGAACTGGAACGCTACCTCCAACCGAAAATTTGAAGCCAGTCCCAGTTCTTCTCGCATGCGAAAAGCGCGGTCACAATCTATCAACACGACTTGAAAACAGGCTTAGAAAATCTTCTTAACAGCACCAAAAGCAGAGGCATAGCCAGGACTTTTGGTCAAGGGGGGCCAGCAAAAACCCAGGTGGGGCCAAGCCACCAGTGACTCGAGACGCAAAGTTCGCGCAAGAAAAAAATTTCTCCTATTCTCCCAATAATTATTTATTTGAAAGAGCACGCTTGAGGAGTCAGATTTGGCTTCAAGAAAAAGATCATTTGGCAGTTTATCTGAAGATAGCATTCCAGTTATATTAATTTCATTACATTTCAAATTTCGTCATAAACTGATGAATAGGAATAGTAGCAGTCATTTTCATATGCCAGAATACAATCGCACCACACGACTAATCGTATCATGTCGCCTTAACAGTGTGAAGGCAGAGTTCTCAACCTCTCAGTAACTTCAAGGAGAGCAAAGTATTGCCTGCAGCGTTGTGCGAAGCAGCAGAGCGTCTTATATCTTAAGCATTGCGTCAGCAGATTAGCCACAGCATACTTTATCATGGAAGTCGTTTTTAAAGTTCTTCAACATTTCTTTTCAATGTTTCACCCCAGTGAGTGGCTCTACTGCCAACGAAGACGTCAAAGTTGTCTAAAATTTCCTCTCTTGTGAGTACTTTGTCCTAAATGAATAATTAAAGATTATTCAACCAGTCCCAGTTAGTATAATTTAGCGGCTTGTGTCCCCAACTGCGGATTGGTGCACGACATGTATAAATATTGCATTTGCAAATGCTGTGGTTACGTTACTACGTAAGCAAGAAAGCAGGTATGTAAGCAAGCAGGTAAGTGAGGAAGTAAGCAAGAAAGCAAGCTAGTAGACAAGCACGCAAGCAAGGAGGCAAGTAAGTAAATAAGTAAGTAAGCAAGCAAGAAAGTGAAGAAGTAAGCAGGTAAGTAAATACGTAAACAAGCAAGCAAGAAAACAAACAAACAAACAAACAAACAAACAAACAAACAAACAAGAAAGCAAGCAGGCGTAGTAGGTCTCCGTCTACCGTTTATTAGGAGTACGAGCCAAAGTAAAAGGGGGACCAAAAACGTAGATCTTCTGTGGGATGTAAAGAAAAACTTGAAAATAAAAAAAATAATAAGAAAGGCCAAATCTCAGCTTGTTTGCCTTGTATTACTAACCTTATTAGAATCAGCTTCGCCAATGAGGTGGTCTGCTTCATTTTCGTGGATATCATAGGACGTCGGGAAATACCACTCCTTGATTTCATTCTAAATACAATAGTGTCCATATAATGCCTTTGGTCATGAGGTCTCTAACTCTTACGTACGTAATGATATATTTCTAGACGTTAAAAGACATTGGAACTAAAAATTTGTCTCATTTGAAAGAACGTTTAATTAATTCAAAATTATATATGAAATTTTGTTGGAGATTTTTCATATCAAACTTTAACTAAGTTCTTTGTATGTTTGCATGGCGATAAATCATATAATAGTTTTGTTTGTGGAAACACCACTTGTATTTATTACTGCAAAGCTTTCGATCCGTTTCCGGGCTTACGGATGGAAAGCTCTGCAGTAAAACGTGGTGTTTTCCAATTAGATCTGACTGTCTTACATCTCTTTGTAGCAAAAAGTGAGGAGTTTGTAGCAAAAAGTAAGGAAACTTCGCTCTTTAACTAAAAAAAATACTATAAAACATTTTCACAGTCCCAAAACTTATTGTGTACTAAACCTCTGTTTTATTCCTTCTGAAACATGAATAAATTAACGTTTTCCAAGTGGTATTATTTTCGTCATGGCATCTTCTTGTTGGCCATTATGAGCACTTTGAGTTTGGCAACCAACTTAACTTTGACTTATTATTGACCCCGACTTATTATTCCAGTTTGCTTATAGTTCAATGAATATATTATCTTTCCACATCTTGGATTCATTCTCAACCTGATTAGCTATTGTTCTGATGTCGTCAAGAGCGGGGTTAGTCTTATGTACTTACAGTGACCGAGTAAAGATTAAAGAATAACAATCAACCGTGATACTTTGCGCGCTAAAAGGCTTTGATTGTTTTGTATTCCGCCATTTTGTTAGCCACTTTAATGACGAAAGATTGACATCCGAAGCGTATCATGATCAATCTGCATTATTCTTAGATGATGTCATTTTTTCTATAGTTGGAATATGTTAATAGATCATTGATTGAGATTTAATTCTCATTTTATAAAGTAAATTGCTAATTATGGCCTCTGTATTTTCCGCTCGTGGAAGGCCAAT